GCACACTCTCTGCTGTCACACTTATATCCTCGTCGGGGTCTTGCCTTGCGGCCTTCACTGCTACTTCTTCTAGAAGCCATAATCCTTTATACACCTTCCCAAACCCACCCGCTCCAATCACCTCCTCCAGGGACAGTTCTGAGAAGTCTATCTCCAGGGGGCAGTCGCCCACCCCGCCTGCAGTCAGCTGCTGGTAGTTGGCAGCGCCCCCCCTTGTGACATAGTTGCATGGAAAGATACCCACCTTGTCCTGGATCTTGCCTGTCCACCAACCCTCATCCCCAGAAACTTTGGAGTCTTTGGAAAGAACCTCGAGGAGGTCTCCCCGCCGCAGGGTTAGTTCCTCGTCTGCTGTGGCCTCGTAGTCGAACACTGCAGTCCAGTAGGGGTTGTTTGCAGCACAGTGGTGCCCAGGGTGGGAGTCTGGGGAGGACGAGAAGGTGGAGGAATTCCAGCTGCTGCCATTCTCCACCTGCACCATCGGTGCAGGACACATTGGTGGCGGAGGAGTCATATTCGGGGGCAAGCAGGAGGAGGAGGTAGTAGATGAGGGGGGGTCAGGAGGGATTAGGCAGGGGGGAGGTGGGGAGCAGGAGCCCCCACAGCTGGTGCAGGACCGGGGGGCTGCTGTGCTGCTCGCTCTGCCGTATGGATGCATGGCAGCCAGACTGTTGTTTGACGCTGTAGGCCTGCCCTCTGTCAACTCAGGGACAAAATCCATACAGGGCCCATTGACAGAGACGGGGAGTCCTCGACCACCAGTGGGGGGGATCAGGGATCAAAGGATCAGGGTGCTGCAACTGCTCTCCCCCATCACCACATCCCGCTGTGGAAACTGTGCCAAATCCTCTCACCCGTTGCTGCTGTGCTGTTGCTATGCGGTGTGTAAGTAGCATGTATTCCCAAAGGCAAGTTCATACAGGGACAATGTCCATCAAGTCAAACATTGACACTCAGCAGATCCATGAATGTAACCCCCTCAGAAACGTAATTGATTGTTTCCACTATTGTGTCTCTTGGAAAGCTTCTGCAGACTTTCAAAGCAGCCTTGATTCTGTATTTATCTAAGAAACAGCAGGTCATCAGTTAAGATCAGGTCCTCATCAATCCTGATCCCTCAATATGTGCCTACAACTAATAAAACAGTAACATAGTTAATAATGATGTCTTAAATTGCTGTTATAACTAAGTAGATTGTATCTAGACTCAACAAAAGCTGGACTCATGGTTTGTACTTTTGAAATGTTGCCTCATAACCTCATGAAGTCAATATCAGCCAATGGTATAGCTACTTGACTCTGAGTGCTAGACACTCAGGGATGATATTAGAACCACAGCTGAGTAATATCAGTATTAAATATGAAGTATTTAGGCTGCCAATAAAAACAGCAGTCTGTGTTTGAGCTGAGTGAAATCCTCTGAGCAGGGGTCTTCATTATTTCTCATCCAGCCGAGTGTACATGCACCTCACCCGCCAGCCGTCTCCATGAACACGGGCTGTTTCCTCTTCTGTGTAGAGCCTACTGTGAAATATCCGTAGATATTCGCCCTACATCCCGAAAAGCCGGTCCAGGATAATTCCTATAACCATGAGCCGGTTCAACGTCCATGAATAGATTTTATTAAAAAGGCCCCGTCCATTTTAAGAGAGCAGGGGAATTACAGAAACAAGCCGGCGGCAGGTATTCAGTACAGACCATGTTCAGCATCCAGCCTGAGCACAACAAACCCGCCTCCGTCTATGTGCAGCGGCCTGCTTCAGTCGCCTCTGCTGGGCTACATTTGTGATGGAGACCAGTCCTCGGTGGGAAAATAAACTCTTCTGGACTGGAGACAGGGAGGCAATGTCAGCGTGTATCATTATCCTGCTGCCTCAAGAGCACGCGTGGTAGTTTTAAATTAATAATCAATAATAGCAAAGGATTTAAATGTCCACGACTTCTTTAGAAACCATCACACGGCGGCAACAAGGCGGAAAGTATGGTTTGCATGCAGCCTTGCACAATTACAGTATCTCTCATCCGGGTGGACGAGATGAAACAAGGCGATGAATGCTCCATGTTTCCTTCATAAATAGATAGAGCGCCCCATCATAATAATACAAATAATTATTTAATAATAGGCTATTTAACGTTTATTTAGGGCAATTATTTGCGCAAAATGTTGTATCCAGTCCGAACTTGCGTCTTCCGCCGCTAACAGCTTTAATACGTAAACAATTAACGCTTAGCTCACTGTAACCTAACCTGGACAACGATGGCAGCAACATACACCGATATCGTCGCATGGGCGTGTGATGCATCCAAGTAAGCACCATCCAGGTCAGTCTCCCAATTTGGCGTCAAAATGAAACACTCCCGGCAGTCCTTGCTTGTGCTGCTCATCCGGCTGTCCGGAGGTCCATCGTATTCAAACAGGCTTTAATTCCAGAGAGACATGACATTTCGAGCAGCGAGCTGTCAGTCTGTGGGCTGACTTTGCATCCAAACACACCGGGGCGCAGTCCACATACGTGGGAACAAGTGCTTCCACTGTGCAGATCTACAAAACACAGGGATGGGTGGAAGCACGCGCAATGACTCCCATCACGTGTGTGCAGATCTGGGTTCAGCTCCACGTTCAGGGCGGAGTGAGTGTGTGCTGTTGCACTGTGGGTACTGTAGTTTCTGAGGGATCTCCTGCTGACCTACATTATTCTGACAGCTCGTATAGATTAAATAATTGGCAATATTATAATCATAAGGACAGTTACGAGCTTGTTAACTTATTTTACAATGCAGTGCTTTGTCCTGTTGCCTACCTACAAGTGTCTGCCTAATAATGCATTGGAATATATTGATAGGTGGATTTATACTTATTGGAAAAGATTGCTTCTTGTTTTCTGTCCCAATAGATGCCAGGGATGTTTCTCAAGGACACTTAATCTTACATTAAATATCTACCCTGATGGACTTTCAAGACTAGAATTACTATAACCTGAAAATGTGTTATCAGGTTTTTTTTAAGGGGAGATAACGTGAGAACAAATAACGTCCTATTTCTTCTTGACATTTAATAACATTAGGTTTCTTGAGAAAAATAAATAACATTGTAACATTCCATACACATTGTGTATGGAACCAGTTTTTTTATTAAAACAAAGGCACCCCGTGACAAAATGTCATTGTATTACAGAATACAATCGATATAATTTCATTCTTATGCTACACTGACCCCTGGTGCCTCATGAGTGAAACACAAATTATTTAGTGGTTTTGTTCAGTGGTTCATGTGTTGTCTTTGTTTGTTTGAATAAATCGCAGTAACTAATGCCAGAAGAGCTGCAGAGATCAGAAGACATACACCAAACAGGCAGCTGATCAGAAGACTTTCTGTCTGGCTGCAGTGTTGCCTACAGATGGGATACATTTGCAATTTGTAATAATCACTCTTCCACATTTGGCAGGCTGTCTCTTTAATATTCTTGTGCAATATCAACTTGTGCATTCTTTTGTTTATATTTATTTAATAGGGAGGGATGAAACCCTCTTTAATGGTCACACATGCAGAGCACACAGCACACACAGTGAAATTTGGCCTCTGCTTTTAACCCATCCTAGTACAAGGAGTTTAGTACTAGGAGCAGTGGGCAGCTATATTGTACAGCGCCCGGGGAGCAATGGGAGTGGGGGGGGAAGGGGGGTGTCCGGTGCCTTGCTCAAGGGCACCACGGCAGGGCAGGAGGTGAACTGGGACCTCTCCAAGTAGAAGTCCACAATCCATATTTAGGTCTGGTCGGGGACTTGAACCAGCGACCCTACGGCTCCCAGTCCAAGCCCCTACTGACTGAGCCACTGCCGGACAATATATATATATTATATCTTACCAATTGTAGCATATGTTTATTTGTATGTTTAATTGGGAAGGCAGGTCAACAAGGAATTTGTTTAAGATGGTCGTATTAAGTTAATCATGGTAAAACCAGTTTTTGAAAGTTGTGAAGCAGACAGTAATTGATTTGAATCTGTGCAACAACACAAACATGTTATCAAATACTAGCCACTTACAAAGTTAGTTACACATACAATGTGTTGGACTCGTGTACATTATTTCATTGTTGCTTCACATACCTTTTAGAGATTTTTTTATTTTTCACGTTCTTTTATGGAATGTTTATGTCTATTTATGTGTAAGTACATTGAGAGCAATTTTAAATTGAAGACAATTTATTTGTATGTAATTTACACACACTTGGCTAATAAAGCTGCTTCTGATATCAGAGGACTGATTTTGCTTTGCAACCACAAGGTTGTGCTATTGACTAATGTTTTGACCATGTGCCATTATAGATATATACAAATGCATCTCTAGTGTTATTTCTTTAAGCGTTTCCCTCAGATGTAGTTTTCACTTTTACCTGACTTCCATTATTAAACATAATATGCAATAGGTACAAACAATATAATAGAAAACAACACTAAAAAAGAAGAAGACAAATATATTTATTTTGTAATGCTAGAGTTTGTATTATTGGCCAATGTATAACGTAATGGTCTTAATAGCGGTTAGAAAAATTAGATAAGTTGCTATATTGTTTAAATATATTAAATAATCATTTTTTATGAATCCATAATCCATCTTTGAATTGAATGGTAGATATACATTACAAGAGTAGGTATGAGGACATGTTCTAGAATAGTAAAGCATCCAAAACAATATAGATAAATAGATAAAAAATACACAATATAACATTTTCTGGATGAATTGGAGTATTCTATAAAAGACCAATATACTTAGGCCTACAGCAACAGAAACATAGACATACATACACTACAGTAACAGAAGAAAACATATGTACATAGGATATACATTACAGTTGTGCAAGGTAACTGTTATATCATACTCATACTAAGGTTTTATGGTGCAGTATTTTACAGTATTTACAGTATTTTGGTAGCAGCGTGCTGCCCCCTGTGTGTTACTATCGTAGGTTGCGCCAGCCGGAGGTGCGCATGCGCCGTGAGTGTGCGGGTGGTTTCGGTTGAGCATTCTTGGCAGCGTCTCGCTCGGTGAACAGGCAGTCGACCGACGGCTACAGCGACTCTTTCCTAAATGTCTGGAGATTAATGTTAACGGAATAGGAGCCGAGAGAAAACACCGGAGCAGCATTAGGTAAGGTGTGTGCTCTTTTCAGGATTCTCTGAACAGTTTGGGTTGATTCAAAAGCGCTGAAAAGTGACGAGCAGGGAGCTGCGAGAGAGAGGCAGCCGACCAACTTCAGTCAATGCAGAGACCAGGCTCTTTACTACGGCTCAGCCGGCACTCTTAGCCCCGGCTAAAAACATTCACACAGCTTCAACGCTTCACTTCGGCCTGCGGCCATTCAACAGAGTAGATATATTACCTTAAATATGCCGCTACTCGCAACAATTCATTAACTACTAAATATTCTACAACCTTCCTGATAATTAGGTTGCCAGTGCGCATGCTCCAAGTGCTTCGGATTTGTAGTTTTTCGAACCTAAGTTAATCACAGTTGTGAGGGCCAAAAGGAAATGTTAAGACTACAAGTTCCAGACAATGGGAGCTTTGTTTGGGGGCAGAGCTAGCCTACTAGTTAGCCTGGACGAGCTTTGAATTTCGAGTAGTTGTGGTGCAAATCGGAAGTTGCCTTGGCTGGAGATTTGTTTCAGAATAAGCTGCATGGGGAATGTTTTGCCCGGGCGGTTACGAACACACACACGTATTGTTTTATCGGGGTGTTGCAGTAGTTGTAAATGCCTCAGGTTTGATATGTGCAACATGTTTTAAATGTGGTCATTAAAGGAGACCTGGTCGTGGACGGACATGCAGACTCTGTTCAGCTGTCAAAAGACGTGTGCACAGTGTGCAGGTTTTGCAGTGTGTGTGTTTGTGTGTGTGTGCGTATGTGCGGTCGAGTGTGTGCACTTGATAGAGAGGTGATGATGCCTCGGCGTGTCGTCTCCCTTTCATAGAGATCCCCCTTGTTGCTGCTGTGTTCCCCAGCCCTCAGGAAATGACACGTCGAGGATCAGCATGATGGATCTATCGTGCAAGAGCAGCAGAGCATTGCAGCACTGCACATATTCTGGGCTCCATTTACTCTGGTTGCCTCCCATCTGGAACTAATGGAATAATTATTACAGGGGTAAATCTGGGAATGATGCCTTAATGTCTTACCCCGATTATCCTACTGCAAACCCGCCTGTAAGAGCAGATGTTGAGCACAGCACTGCCCACTGTTTGCTGCATAATGGCCATATCCTGCATTTCATCCCTCGTTTGAGAGGAGAACAGATTTGAATACATTTCTCAACGGTGAAGTTTATGCTGAATGTTACTGACATGGTTCTCCATATTGTAAATCCAAATGCCTTTGATCAGAGGCTATGCACTAGACTGTTGAAGTCAGTTATACAATGTTGTTCCAGAAATAATCCCCCATCCTTTCAATGGTTGTTTGAAAGTCTTCTATATCAAAAGCAGAACAACACAGACCTGCTGTATATGGCATGTTTCGTTCTGTGCTACTCCAGATTCCCCTGTTGTATGATCTCACTAGCGTTTTATTTTCCTGTCTTTCTTTCGTAACTCTACACCTGCCTGACGAAGCAAAGAATTCCATAAATTGATAGTTGAAGGAACAGTGTAAAAGTAGCTCAGCATGATTTATTACAGCAGTGAGTGCAGTAGCATGTCCCTGCAAGCTGTTATTGATGTATATAAAACCACAGGAGCTTGTGACGCAAACCAGAAAGAAGTTAAAAATGGAGAGTAGGTAGAATCTGAAAATGCACTGATTACCTAAATGTTTTTGTTTATCTCCTTAAATCCTCTATTGAGGGGGCCTTTATACAGTCAGTGTGTTGCTGCTATGGTAGGCCTTTCTTCACGTGTCTTGTTTGCCAAGGCAAGAGGCCAACAGAAACTGTCTGAGCCATTCAAATGACACTGTATGAAATTAATCTGGCATAACATGTTTGTTTTAAATCTCATTTGTCTTACTCTTCAAATATCTTAATTCCCGTGTTCTGTTTTTACATTGCATCGTAATTCTGCACAGTGTAGTATAGTATTGGGTTATATTGCATTTAAAGATTTATATTTCTGCTATGCAGCCTTCTCGAGTAACAAACCCTTCGCTAAATGCCGTGTACTTCTGCAGATTTTACACTTCGGGTCCAGATACTCAATCAAACTGTCACATTTCCTCTGCTATTGAGAACAAGTCTAATGTATTTACTATGCAATATTTATGAGCTCTTAATATGTTTTCTGCAATACTACCCAATAGAATTTGTAAATCCCTGCAGGGTCCATAATATCTGTATACTTTTTGGTATTTTTGCAAAGATATCACATTGTCCATGTCCATTGTAATCTACACTCCTTTTGGCCCACATCACAGAGTTGTAAAGCTCCTCCAGCAGACAGATTTTAGTTGGCACCACACTGGGTACAAGATAACAATTACTCACTGTCTGTGATCTTGAGGAACATCTCATATTTGCTGCTACTATTTCAGCGTTTCATAGCAAACAGCTACTAGAACAAAGGATAGTATCTTCAAAGGGAGCGGAATGGGGGCCACCTGAGTTATTTCGCTTGTAAACATGAAGTTGAATCACTATCTCATATCTCAGTAAATATGACTCATCATCAGTTGTAGATTTTTTTCTTGTTCTTTTTATTCCTGACGACGATTTTAAAGAACTCACCCAGCTCTCCGTTGGGTGTATAACACATTTCCAGAAGGGTCTTTTCTGTGGTGTTTTTAAGGCAGCTCTGGTTAAAGACCTCCTTTCCTAACCAAGCCATTGGCAGCTCTCCTGCTGGTTGTTATTTTAGAATGAAAGGCCTCTTGCCAGGTTTCTATTTAATCCTCAGAGGCTGCTTAGTTAAATAAAGGTTAATAGAAACTAACAATGTTGTGCTCTCACAGTGTGCAGATCACACACACACACACACACACACCACATCCATCACAGTCATTGGCTGTATCCTGATGGGTCACAGAGAGGAAGAATGATACCTCGGGCTAAAGATCCCATCTGGTGTATGTCACGGTGCAAAGTGACGTCCGCGTACATGTGTGTGTATTTTCAGAGGGCTGCATTAAGAATTGTCTTACGCTTGAGCTTACAGAGTTCAGCCATTGAAATACATTACAAACTGCTCTCTCTGCTTATTGCCGTCTCATGCTAATGGTTTATACTCCTTTTAAACCAACACTGTGACGCAGGTTCAGCCCATGTTGGTGGTAACTCTGAATGGGTCAGCACACGTCACCACGCCTGGCATCACAGCCTCCTCCCAACCGGAGCTGAAGGCAATGGAGGCAATAATTGACTGTGGTCATGTGTCGATTTGAATGACTCTTTTCTGATCATATCATAACTAAATTAATTGCTGGAGCTCAGCTGACCATACCATTCTTCTCCAGATCTCCAACATGCTACAGTCATCAAACTCACTTAGTTCATACATGCAAGTTAAAGACATCAAAGTCATTTTATTCTAAATTAGGATTGAAAGACTTTAAAATAGATAAATAAAAGACCTAAAATCACCCCACGCCACTGTGAAAACATTCAAATCCTAATATTCACATAAGTCAGATTTTTAACAAGATTTCACCCACAAAAACAAACAGAAAGCAGCACAGAGGGTGAGAGTTGTGTGGGCGAGAGAGTTGGATGTGGAGAGAAATTGAAATAGAAATTTGATTTGGTAATTATGTTATGTAGTTTGGTGCTGTGTATTTCTATGGAGAAGCTAGGATGTGTTTGTGGGAACAGTGATGGCCCCCAATGACCTGGAACCATGTATCTACACACCTGAATACGTGAAGAACAGGTGCATCAGAAGCAGAACAACTTAACCGTCTTGATTACCTCTGGGCAATATATTTTTACCACTCTACAGTCAACCTTCATAGGCGTACGTACTTCAGTATACATAGAGGCTGTGTAAACAACAAGATGATTTACCCAACAACGACATTAACCGCTGTGATGGTTGTTTAAACATCATAAATTAAAATACAAAGAGGAACCAAGACAGTGCTGTTTTTTAAACCCCCTTTGCAATGGGCTAACCTATAGCAGCACTCTCATGTAGATATGCGTTCAGTAGACCTGCGTCACACGCGTGTATTAGTCAGAGTGCAGGTGTTGCCGTTTAAGATGAAATAGCATCAGACCACCATATTGAAAGCCCCCGTCTCCACTCTCTTTGATGTGTTTGCCTCCCCTGAGGGTCTTATCCATAAGTCAGGGTGCATGTTTGTGTCAAGAGGTCAGAGATTTACTGAACACACCAATGTTTCCTGAGATGACTCTGCTTTATAGCCTTCTGCACCGCTATAACACATTTGATAGGTAGGCAGTTGATCTATCAAGCCTCCCCCTCCTTTTATTTTCTTCTTCTTCTTCCCACTCCTGCAGAGGTCAGATTCCCTCAAGGTGTTGTTTACCAATCTGTGTCTCATCTCAGGGAACGGGATGAATCAGAGAATTACAATCGGACACTCACATTTCCAAAATGTGCTTACATTTGGATGATAGCACTATGAGCAGTTTCTATCCTGCCTTCCAACTCACTGTACCTTCTGCCCGCCTGACCACCATGGGGTCAAGAGTAGGGCTGTGCGATTATGGCAAAAATCATAATCACGATTATTTTGGTCAATAATTGATATCACGATTATTCAAAACGATTATCCATTTACTTTGAAAATATCCATTTATTGAAAAAAAAAATGTTGAACAGTATGTTTTTAACAGTTGATTACCCTGAACTTTAAGTATAATTCAACTGAAAAACCAATAAAAAATAAATAAAATTACATTTTTTTTTTTTTTTATAAATAAAAATAATAATCGTTTTATTTCGATTACGTTGTTTTCGTAATCGTTGCAAGCCAAAATCGTAATCGAGATTAAAATACGATTTAATTGCACAGCCCTAGTCAAGAGCCTTCAGCCACTCTGCCCCCCGTCTCTGGAACTCTCTCCCACAAGACATCCGCAATATGGACTCACTCTCAACCTCCAAATCCTGCCTGAAAACCCACCTTTTTAAACTGGCGTATTCAATATCTTAATTCTTCTAAACTGATTGTTGTTTTTTAAGTCTTGAATTACTGTTTG